TAAATACCGGTGCAATACTCATTTGTTAGCTTTGATTTGTTTTATTTCACCTTATATACCTCCTCCATCAAGAGCCAGGGTCAAAGTCAGAGATCCACTTTGTCTTTGACCTTTGGACCCAAATGACCTTGACCATTAACCCGGTGACCCTGATCTTTGGTCAGTTGACTTATTTTTTAATTCCGACCAATTTTGCTTCTTAATATCATAACAAAATGTTCATCAGTGAAAAATACAAAACTTGACCTTGACACTTTGGACCCAGTAACCTGGAACTAAGGTCAGTTGACTCTGTGTTAAGTTCTGAACAGCATTGCTTCATAATGTCATAACAAAATGTTCATTAGGGAAAAGGTACAAAATTTAACCTTGACCTTTGACCAAGTGACCTTGACCTTTGGTCAATTTACACCTTGTTTAATTCTGAGCAACATTGCTTCAAAGTGTCATAGCGAAATGTTAAACAGTGAAAAGATACAAAATTTAACCTTGACCTTTGACCCAATGACCTTGACCTTTGGTCAGTTGCCTCATTGTTTATTTCTGATCATCTTTGCTTCATAATGTCATAACAAAATGTTCATCAGTGAAAAGATGTAAAATTTGACCTTGACCTTTGAAACTAATGACCTTGACCTTTGACCTTGACTTTTTACATTAGTGTGTCTCGTTGTTTAATTCCGAACAACTTTGCTTCATAATGTCATAGCGTAATGTTCACTAGTGAAAAGCTACAAAATTTGACCTAGACCCCTGACCCGATGACCTTGATCTTTGGTCAGTTGACTTCGTGTTTAATTCTGATCAACTTTGCTTCATAATGTCATAACAAAATGTTCATCAGTGAAAAGATGTAAAATTTGACCTTGACCTTTGAACCTAATGACCTTGACCTTTGACCTTGACTTTTTACCTCAATGTGTATTTTTATGAACTGAACATCTTGACCAAGTTTCATGTACATCGGTCAATAAATACCAAAGTTATCAGCCAGGAACAAAATTTGTGGAC